TTGGTGTGTGGAGTCTGTCACAAACACTCAGTTTCGCTCCCAACGAAAGAGGGCATTGCGTCAGTAGTTAGTCCTGCGATCACAACGATTTTGCCATCCAAACCGAAACCAATGTGTTCTGAGTGGGTGACCTAAAGGTCATCCCTACATTGACCCACTTCTATGGCATTACATTACTTTAAGCAAATCATCCGTGAAATACAGGTGCTTGCGTGGACTCAGCAGCATTCGCTCCAGGTAGGAGGAGACATGCATTTTTATGTGAATTTTTATTGCCCCCCGCAACCAATTAACTGCTCTGGGGAGTGGGGTGTCGTTTTCCTCAACTTTGGCGTGCGAGGGTATTCGAGCTAGTTTGGCGAGCACAGCCGTCATTGGTGCCATTGCAAATGATGACTGAATTGTAAAGCGATTGCGGCGATTAGCGATTGACGAGTAACTGATTAACATTCAAAATGCGAATCAATGCCGATTGTCGCTGACAACAATTTGTGATCTAAGCTCGGAATATCTCTTCTTTTTTAACTCTGCAGTGCTGCGCTTTTAAGCGAAGATTGATAGAATACCATCCCGGCGTTCGTTCCTATTTAAGACACAGAAATGTCGGTGCTCGGAAATCCTGTCATATTCATTTTTGCTGGGGATGGTGATTGAGTTTGAAACATTTAAATGAAACTATTTTGCCCTGGTTTCTTTCAATATCCGGGGTACATTAACGAATCTGCTCTTCGAACTCAATAAAGCAAAATCGAACTGCCTGGCGTTCTCTTGTGCTCAAGACGACCGTTCTCTTTGCGACCGCAACCCATGCCTCTACTCCGTTTGCACTGAAAGATGCTGTTGTCGTTCCCTAAGCCAAATAATGCCCTCGGAATCAAATTGTGAAGTATTTATAGCTTAGCATGGCACAAAGCAAACAAAATAACTGTTGGTGCGTATTGGTATGGAAACTTTATTCTGGGTTCTTTGTGTAGAGGAATGTGCCCAACTAGGAGTACAGACGGCAAATACATACATACATCCAATGACAAGGTGTTTCCCTTTCGAACTGAAGATCCCTGCGGCTTTTCAATCCCACGCTGCAGCCAAAGAACAAATGTTGGTGGTGTGGGAAAAATAAAATAAAAACTTTCCAAATTTAAACAAAAAACTTTGGTTTTGATGTCGTTGCCAAAGGTGTCGTTGCGGTTAAGGTGTAGGGTAATGACACCATATTTAAGTAGTTTCACCCACTGACTTCGAATTGAGTCAATAGCTAAACGATTGACCTGACGGCTGTCGTTGGATGTGATTTACCTGTTCGCAACAGGTAAATACACAACATGTATTGTTTGCGAACGAGTTTCAGAACAAATGAAAAAACAAGTCCCGTTATCTCATTTCGGTATTGTTTCATACTTGTATCAGATACATAACGAAACGATTGCAAACGTTTGATATAGTTTATTATCGAACGCTGGTTCGACCAGCCTCGTAATTGTCGACCGCACTGGATTGAAAGCAGAAGGTTGTCACGTTTAGGCATGCACATCTGTTTCCTATACCTAGGACTACTGTAACATTTAAATGGCAAAGCGGAACCCAATTTGGAGATAATGAGCGGCATACATAATTGTGTTTCGTTATAAGTCGCCAGTCACAATCATCAGAAATCATGACCTGTCCTATTTATCCGACAAAATCAACTGCGATTCTCCTGCTCCTGGGAGGGAGTATGGAGGAGCATCTCCATACTTTCTCCACATCGATTAGCATCTGAGGTCAAAGAGACGTATTCGTTCTTTTTTTTTAATATAAACCATTTAATTGAGCTCTTGAGCCCTCCTTATTCAAATATGTGCTTTGGCTTTGTTGATTCACTCTCGACACGTCCAAATACAAAGGCACCCACGTACACCGCCGCATGTATGCGTTGTGTGTGAACCCGTGAAGCAACGCGAATCATACGCAGGCACAAACCGTTATACCTCGCTCTTCTTGGGGAGATTGACATTGGCAGAAAGTGTTGTTGTAGCCACGCCAATGGAATGCTGTTTACTCTACGGCACATGTTATCAATTTACATATGTGTCGCAGATCGGCACACTCACAAAGAAGGATTTTTATACCCTTCACCACTCATAGTATGGAGGGTATATTAAGTTCGTCATTCCGTATGTAACTCATCGAAATAATAATGTTAGACCCTGCAAGTATATATATTCTTGATCAGCGTAAAACTCTACGTCGACTTAGCCCTGTCCGTCCGTCCGCTAATCGCGATAGAGTCAAAACCAATTAAAATGGCAAGCTGAAACTTTGCACAGGTCATTCTATTGTCTGCAAACAGGTCAAGTTCGAAGATGGGCTATATCGGTCAACGATATCATATAGCACCAGATAACGGTATCCCCGATATTCAATATTTTGATGATTTTTTTGGAATTGTTTGAAAATCCACGCAGAGAGTTCCTTCTGAGAACTTTTCCCCCCGGGAGAGTATTGTTTACATAGTTCCACAATATCGTATTGCCCCCATATAACGGTACTTCCCTATGTTCCGTACATTGATGATTTAAGCGGCATTATTCAAATTTCATAGTTAAAGTTTCTAATGGATACTACAGCCTGTGACAGATATAACCTCCCTATATAACGGTACCTCCCTATATTCGGTTTTTTTTGACGATTTTAGCTACATTATTCGACGGATTTTTTTTTAAGTTTCGTATTTGAATATTGTAATGGCCTATGACAAATGTTGCCTATTCTGGTCCACGTCTTCGTAGAGAACCCATCCTCCTATATTTGGGATTTTTAAGATTTTAGAAGATTTTTAAAGATTTTTTTTTTTAAATTCCAAATGCTTTCCAAATGTTGGAGGGTATTCAAAATTTGAACCGGCCGAACTTACTGCTTTTCTACTTGTCACTCGCGGTGATTTTGAATTGCACACCTTCCGGGTCAGACCGAATTACTAGGGATTATGCCTGGATTCAGATTAGGCAGATGTCAGAATTGGATTACTGTATATTAGTGGCCTACTGGCATGTGTATGGTCGGTATCGTTCTCGAACACTGTGTCCCTCGGTGAGGCGCTATCTCCTAAACGTTTCCGAAATGCCCATCACATAGGACTGTTGCATATCGCACCATTATCCGTTTAATCTAATTGGAGTTCTCCCAGTTTTCTTACCATCCACTTTGGTGGGCCAGAAGCGTTGGGAGCGTGAAGGAGTTTTTGCCTTCGAAAAGTAAAAGTATTTCTGGCAAGAAATATGTGTACAAAGAAACGACGACAAGAATATCACATTTTTCGTAGTTTGGGCCTTGGCAGAAGGGTGGGTGGCAGCAGGGGGGAGGGGGCTGTTCGGGTAGCGATGTGGCAGTAACTATTCCATTACGAAAGCATCGCCCACGTAGTCAGTCTTGGGACAAATTGAATGTGTGTTTGACTGGAATATTAAATTTTCTTCTGAAAACATTATCACCCTCAAGTGTAGCAGAGCCGACAGGCGTATGAGTGAGCAAGTGGTTAAACGAAGGGCTGGTTACACATCCGCACCCACGGCTCGTTTTGGAAGTCTCAGCTAAGTTGTATTGTTAAGCGACAATACAGTCATTTATTTCACCCCTAACATCGCCGCCAGCAGCATCGTTGAAGCCATTGATGGACGGCAGGACAGCACACAATTATTAAAGAGAAGGAAAACATTGCTGACGTCGGTTGGTCTGTCGGTCGCTCCCTCATGTTGGTCTTTTTGTTAGCCATATTTGCTTAATAAGTGCAAAACGACAATTCGCATCATTTTAATATGGGCCGGCGTAATGTCTCAATTTGCGGGGACGCGTCGCGGAATGCCAATGGCTCATTTGCATTTTCCCGGGACAGGAAAGGCGGAAAGGCCGAGTAACAGCACTAGGCGTCCGGAGGAGCCGTAATCAGCTCTCGTTTATGCATGCCCATGCAATTTGTTAAATATGTTTTATTGACAAAGTACAACGCAAACTTTGCTATGACCATTGGCACCGGGTCGGGTAGGAGGCCAAACTACGATTCGCTTTAACCAGCCGAATGCGTGCGGGGACAATGGCAGCAAACACTTAATCCGACCCAAGGTGAACTTTGAACTTCTGTATTGGCAGTGTTGGCCAAAAAGTAGGCTATTTATTTGGGCTTAGCGTGGGCCATCAACAAAGACGTTGTTAAAAGGTGGAGGACTTTGAAAAGCCCATCCCAGCGCGTTACCCTTCACTTGGTAAGTGCTATGCAAGGTCTTTTGGCTGTCACGGAGCCAAAAAGCTTGTCGAGGCATCAAAGGGGACAGGGTTCTTTGCTAGAAATCGAACTGTGTCCTCGAAACATTGCAGAGAACACATATACGTACAAATCGATTGTCGTTTTCCGGCATGGACCAGAATCGAAAAAAGTGTCACACACACCCTTCCCTTTCTTGCGTGCGGCTATTTTAGAACGATTTTTATAGAAAATGCAGTGTTTCGATATTTAAATATTTGTAACTTTTTGAAATAGAATCGAATCTATGGTTGCTACTCATTCGAATGCCAACCAATAAATTAAAAACGTTACAGCAAATAGCCGAATGGGAACCCAATTTGAAGCATGTACGCTCACGGACATGTCGAGCACACACATTTGTCTTTCCATGCTGGGGGAAATCCACCGCAGCTCCTGGGCAAATGAGTTCTACCCTCATGCCCATGACGTGGGGGCTCTGTTTTAGAAAATATTCTTCATTTGTTTTGCTCAGCGCGATAGCCAAGAGCAGCAAAATCCTGCGGTGCCTACATTCGAACTCTGCCCTTGACTTCTGGAATACATCAGCTTTCAGAACGGCATGTGGTTGTTGGTGCGTCGTGTGCGTCACTGTATTGCACGGAACATTCAAGTGTCCTCAGACCGAGCAGTGATCGGTGTGTGTTGTGTTTTTCTGTCCATCTCCTCTGTGAATTACTAATTTCGCTTCCTCTCATTTCACTTTACTTTCGATTCATTTCAGGCCCATTATCCGCGTGCTGTTAAGGCTACCGACGACGTGGCCAATGTTTCACCGTGTGAACTGGAATCGATAATAAATCAATTGGTGAATCCTTCGCCCCAATACCAAATGCAGGTGAGTAATTTCGTAAGCGCCCAGAAACAAAATCACTAATGGAGCCTGCGTCGAACAAAATCGGAGGCGTTCGGAGCGAAGGAAAAAGACATTGTTGTCGACGAGACAGTTGTGGCTCGGCGACAGGGAAGTCTTGCCGAATCGTCGAGTTTCGACAAGCTATTTGCCGAAAAGCCCATTGGTGGTTGCATTGTAACTCTGTTGTGTCTCTCATTTAGGTGTCCTCCCTGCGGAATCAGCTGCGCAACATTTTAAGGGAACGACAACTCGATGAAGGGGAAGAGCAGAGCATCAACAACAACGAGTTGGATTATTTGGAAGAGGACAAGCGTTCTGTGGCTGCATTGGCTGCTCAGGGACTATTAAATTTGAACTGGCTCCCCGAAACGAAGTTTAGCCACGTTGGCTAAGAATGGACAACTGCCCACACCCGACCCGGAAATAGTACCCGACGAAGAGCAACGTTCGGAGGATAAACGTTACATCGGCTCTTTGGCCCGTTCGGGTCAAATGTTGGGCTATGGTAAGCGTAACATCGGCACATTGGCTCGAGACTTTCAATTGCCCAATGGCAAACGCAATTTGGCAACAATGGCCCGTCTTGGGCTATTGGGCCGCAATGAACCTAAGCGCAACATGGCTGCAGTGGCCCGATACAATTCGCAGCGCATGTACAACAATGCTAACAACGCCGCGGAGAAACGCAATATAGGCGCTTTGAAGGCCTCCCCCGTTCACGGCGTCCAGCAGAAACGAGGCGAAGACGAGGCCCCTGTTTATTTGCCCGCCAGCTTCGACTACGTCGACCCCTTGGCTTACTATTGGAATTATGGCACCTATGCCGACATGGACTGGGGCGATTTCGGAAGGGCCCAAAAAAGGTTTCTCGGTAAGTATCCCTAACACCTCGAGTTGCCGTTGGTAAGCGTGTATATATACATAATGTGCATACATCTATATACATGCGTACATGTACATATATACTTCTTCTATGTACATAAACATGTAACACATAGCGTAAGCGCGTAAGTTTTCTTCCTGTATAATAATCATGCGCCAACTATTGTTGTATATTGTGTAATTATATAATCAAACAACAAAGACACTTCCAAGGACCCGGAACTGTTCGGCATCGAGAATGCCAATTTCCTGCAAACGTTGGACTCCAAGGAGGCGGCAGTCGGTCGAACCGGAACGGAGACTGCTGAAAGTATCGACATGGATTCCGAGTCTGGTGCCGAGCCCATACCCCTAACTGCTGCCGAGTCTGAGGACAGCGATGCCTACGAGACTCCCAGTAAACGACATATCGGAGCGGTCTATCGCTCCGGATTCCTGCCATCCTATAGAGCATTGCGCAGCCCCATGGGTTCCGGAAGCGGCGGCGCTGTAGGTGGAGGCCGTTTTAGTCGTTCTGGACGTGCCAGGCAATTTGTATGAGTAAATGGCGGTGATTTGTGTGCTATCCTTTTCTTCTTCCTCTACTTCTTCTACTTGCTATCGAATTGTTCCTATCTCCATAGAAAACTCACACTGACACACACCACACACCTTTGAAAGCTTTATTTGCTAGTTGGCCAGTTAAAAAATGTAAAGTACCAGCATCGTGATAGAGTCGGGTCGAAACGCGAAACTGCACTTTCACCACCTGCGGACCGCATGCCCGTGGGATAAAGTTTTGAAAAACTGAGGTACAATCGATTATGGTTACAGCGAACAAAGCTCATTGTGGACCGGGTTAACTACATGGCAATCTGCAGCAGCACGTTCCATCGCTAATGACACTAATGACGATTCTGCTAACGACCAGTCCAAGTCGATTCCTCAACCCCCACTGCATTTGGACCGGGTCCGGGCATTGTTCACACGGCCGTGTTCGATTGTACCGTGCACGGTACGAACGCATGCAATCGCAATGGACAACCCGCAGATGTATTCCATCCCTGACCGTCGACTCTATCACACGATGCGACTGTAGACGCATGAACTTGTTCCATGACTACTTTTAGGCTGTTCCTTAAATGCCTTAAGCGTAGCATATTTCTAGGTTGAATTCATGGATGTATGTACTCGATAACAAGCATGACAAAACAAACACTCGACACAAACACTCTCAGGTTTCCGCATCGTTCTCCGTATGTAGCTCATGCCTCGCCCTTTCCACACCGCCACACCACACCACACCTCACCTCCCTCACCTAAACCCGCATCGTTGTATTTCAAAAAATTACTTGTGTGTCGACCCCGACATAAGAAAAAAGCCTGAGTGGATCTGTCGGAGATCTGTCTGTCAGCAGGGATGTAAATTGACTGGTAGTGCGTATGACGAACGCAAGGATTCTCAAAGTTATGAGTTGTCACAAACTTGTTTCAGCCTAGCCTAGAAGGTTATTTTAGTGTATGTATATGTGTGTGTCTGTGTGTGATTAAATGAGGGCACATTTCGAATAGGATATGTGTGATAAATGTGCTGCACAATAAGCTTGTTCAAGCCACAAACAACAATATACAAAACAAATGAAGTATGCTACAACGAAGGGCCAGGATAGAGAAAATTTAGTTCGAAAGAAAGTTTCTCCGGCTGAGAATGAATTTGAAAATTGTATGAAATACCTCGAGACCCTCATTTTTTACACACACCCACACACTTCTGTTGCGGCTGTCGCCAGTCACGGCGTATGCCAGCCCTTCCTTTTGTCCCTTTGTGAGAGTGGGAGTGGACCGACACGTTTAATGCAAAGTCCAATAAAGCTACACGAAGTTTGAAGAAAATCGGATTTGAAATTTGATGGTTGTTGTTGGTATTCAAAGATTGGCTTTTTTGTTGCTACTAGTAAAAGCGATCCAATACAGGAACGTAAGCAGGCCCTGCATCCATTAAGCAATGGTTATTCTTCAGCATCATTTTGACATCCATTTCGGGGCGCGAAGCCGGTCCGATATTGTCCAATCTCGCGCGTGACCTTAGCCTAAATAAGGTTGATGTGAGAAATATGTATAATGTTTTCCCTAAATGTTGACTTTTTGTATGCGAGGTAATTGAATAATTGTTCCGAAAGAACTACTTCCATGAAAGATTGGACTTGCTCTAATGTAGGCAAGATTGGACATTCATTTCACATCACATCGAGAAGTAATATTTTATTAATATATTACGATGCATCGGACACTCCCCACAAATATTAGTTCGAGAGTTATCGTACGCCCCAGCAAGTCGGCTAGCCAGTCAGTCATTCAGCTGAGGGTATAAAAGTTCTTCCTTCTTCGCCGTCCCTACGCCCTTCCAAGTCGTCCGACAATCTGCTTCCTCATTTAAATTGTATGTGAGCACGTGCGTGTGTGTACTCCTATTTGTCGCTGCTCTTTTGGGATGTTAACAATTGTTGTTTCCGCTGCGTAGATTATTTGCTTTCGCTTCTGTCTTCTAACGAACTTCCTTGGTTCGATTCGACAATGGTGTTTAAGACAGAATTGCTTTGTTGTCTTTTCGAATGACGAACATGATTGCATCATCATGAGGACCTTATTTGCCGGTCCTCCTGTTCGTCTGTGGCATCGGCCTAAGCTGTTCGATTGTTCTTTAATCGAATTTCCGCTTGGCCCTTTCCAAATTTCCCACCAAGCATGTTTGAGTTTTAGCCTACCCCATGTCGGCTTGATGTGCTTTGTCTCAGCTGTTGGCTGGAATATCGATTTGTCAAGTATTTGTCAAGTGTCCCCGCTGCACGGAAGACCCGAGCCTGCACTCCATATAAATACCAACCAACTGTGAACTGGGCGTTTTCTTGACGGCTTCCAGCATAGAAGTTGCAATAAACACGAAAGTACCCTGTAGGCGTTAGGCTTCAGACTCAACTTGTCCAAACTTGGAGAAATTCAATTCATTTTTGTTGCAAACTTTTGCCACTGCCATTGCCTGGGGCATAAGAGCTGTAATGGTTTTCGTTGCCTTGTCTTCCTATTCCTATTTTCCGTTGTAGTTTTTGTTGCTTAGATGCTTTCTTTTTACCGCTCGGAATTATTGTTTTGTTTTACTTGAAAAATGTGTAATAATTTGTTTAGACAAAGTTGAACACGTAATTTGTGCATGTATGTGTGTATGTATACGTCGGTGTGTAGTAGCAGTTTGTTTGGTTGGGGGGCTCAAGAATGTTTGCCGCAGAAGTAAAATTGAAATAAGCCGATTCATCAGGTAATTATGTGAAAGTCGACGAGCTGAATGAACTATTGTGGACATTCGAATTGAGGGGAGTTCACAGCAACAGCAATTTCAAATCCAAATTGCAACTACAAATATCGCCATCGAGTGTCTCCGAAATCGAGCTGAATAATAATAGGTACGATTGTTGTATTTATGGAGAAGGGTGTACTCAGTGCATTTCCGCTCTTTTTTTACTGGTTACAAACTATCGAGTAAAAAAGACAAACATGATAATAGCCATGCTTATGTATTTGAGATGCATTTTAAGAGAGTGAGAATGTACACATGACTATTAGGTCTATACAATAAACTTCCCATCACAAATTACTCAGTAAATTGTACTCTCTCTCTCTCTCGAGCGAATTTCGCAAAATGTTTGCGTTACACTTTTATGCTGTTGAGAAACCCAAAATAAATTGTTGTACTACAAAGTTGAGTGTTTTTGTTTTTTTTTTTTATCTGAAAAGTAATTTAATTATTTACCTGGTATTAGCATGCCTTTGCGTAGATGTACTCGACACCGAAAACACATTTTATCGTTTTTCAAGAACTTTACTTTAGGCTTTAAATTTCAAATATCCTACAATTCATGATATGTTTAACATTTAGCTTCAGTATTTTCACTAATGCCTCTGGAACAACATTGACAACATCTGCTGATGCGAATTTTATCGAAGATGAGCGGTGAGAGCATTCCTTTGTCAATATTTTCATTAGTCTATGATGCTACTGGATAATTCTTGTTGGATTAATTCTTCCAGTAGGATCTTGCAAACCCTCAGTAATTCAACTTTCGAAATTGGTCTCTTTACTCGCTCCCGTTTACCGGTGTTCGACAACCACGAAAAATATTAGAAAATATTGGGTTTGTCGCATCCAACTATTATCGAAATGTGATTTGTCACGATGCCATGTCGTGACGCTTACCGCCATCTATTGCTTCAGTTGTTTGGTTTATTCTCTCATTTACATGGCGGGTGTGCGTCTCTGCTATGCCAGCGTAAAAAAGTTCGCTTTATTGTGAATGTGTAGATCAGCTAATCACTTCCAACTAAGTATCGACATCCCAGCAAAGAGAATTGGATCGTCGTGCCATGCCTTCGTAGTGAGATTGGAAAGTAAAGAAATGTAAACTCACGTAGCTGGAAAGCGTACGATTGACAATGGGGAAATTTCATTTCAGTTCGTTGGCTTCATGGAGGTGAGCTCTGCTTTTGAGAGCAGCTTTTGTATTCACTCGAGAGCAGGCCTCTGTTTGTAGTGCTGGCAGATTGAGGTGTAGTACCAATGTTGTAGTTGTATTTGTGAACACACAATGCTATGTACGAGGTAGCTTATATTCATAATAACGAAGTACGGGCGTAGAGACGAGCGGAAACACGATCCAATACTGAGACTATAATGTGTGTGCAATGACTGTGTATGTATGTATGTATGTATGGATACGATATGTAATTAGACCATTATTTGTGTAAGCGTTTATTTGGACTGTGCTGTATATTTATCTTCTCACATTTTTCGTTATATGCATGATGAAGAACTTAGCAATGCCAATTAATTAACATTCTCCCCATTGTTTTCAATGCCTGTTCGCTGGGCCATCTCTGCTTCGGGTATGCCATGTCAAAGGTCGAGTACTACCCCCCACCAGAGCGACTGCGTCAACCCATCGCAGCCGTTTGTAAACGCTGCTTCTTCCCCTACCGGCCGATGGTGAACTGGGGTGCCGCCGGAATGCGTGGTCGCTGGCCCCTGTACATGCAGTCCATGGAACACCATAGAAGCATCTCTACCAATGACCTACCTTCCGCATATTACCCTCGCAACCTCCGACGCCAGGCAGCTGTGTCTGCGCCCTTCCATTCCTGGGGTACGCCACCACGTATAACGGCCATGAATCGCCGCAGTTTTCGACGCAATGATCTCAACAACCTAACACGATACTAGAAACATGAACAAAAGTAAAAATATTAAAAAAATATATATATTAAAAAAAAACATATATACATATAAATATGTACACATATACAATTAAATTAATTAAACAAACAAATTATTGAGTTGCAGAACAAGTCGCAAACAAATTGAGACACGGAACAATTAAGAAGAATTATATCAACATTTATTCATATCTTAATTAAATACTGATTAATAATAACATATCTGGACAATAATATCACATATATATTTATATACAATATAAGTATACACAAACACACACATACACACACCTACTATACAAGTACATATATATATACATAGAGTAGAAAGGAAAGGAAGCCAACCGTTGGCACGAATTATGTTTCCCTTCAAACGGACTTTGGGGGACATTAGAATAGATTCATTAGGATTTGAGCGGAATACCAGAATGTCGGACACAAGCGACCTGCCTGCTTGGCAGGACCATTGATCAGGATCACGCTATGCATGCATTTTGTAGCCGATTGTTTTCCTGCCCGATGTTCTGAGTGTTTTATCCTTTCCACAATGTTGGAAGGTTTCCCAAGGTCCTGACGGAAAACCAAAGCTAAATAAAACTTATTAATATGACAATAAAATGTTGCAAATGCAATTTCGCTGAAAATTCCTATAAAAAACCAAAAATATATATACATATATATAATTAACATTAACAAATCATTACAATTTAAAAAAAAAAAAATCAAATTTATTTACTATATTGTGTGTATTGCATATTTTAAATTATTAATTACAAAAAAAAAAAGAAAAGAACAAAGAAGGAATTCCGAATAAAACATATTAGGTACTGCTTAGTAACAGAGACAATAATTTTTAAACATTACCATGGATGTTAGAAAATAAACAAAAATGTGCAAGGACAATAAATTGCCGATGAATACGGGTCTTACTGAAAGAAAACATACACCTCACCTATCCTTATGTTGGCCCTGGTGACTTTCTGTAAACCGTTTAAGCGAAAAGGAAAATAATGACAATTCCTCAAAATAATAACAAATATAATATTTCATCTCGTTGTTTCACAATTGACAATTTTACAAACACATATACAAATAGAAAAAAAAAATATATATGCCTACATAGTTAACCTATTTTATGATCCAAACAAACATCACAAACACTCCCAACTATGTAACTAATTTATAACAAACTTACTGCAATTATCATTATTACTATTGTCTTTATTATAAAAAATATATATATATATATATCTATTTATGTTTATACACATAGACAGAAATAACACAAGTCAATGAAATCTACTTGAATTGAAAACTTAATTAAAAAAAATAATAATTGTAAGTCTGAAGTTGTCAATACGAATATTTACCAAATATAGAAATTATTAAAGTCTAAAAACAATTAAAGAGACGAGACAATAAGTATGTAATGTACATTTATTTAAATAAACTCAATGTCAATGTTTCACTCAATAAATATAAATGAAAATAAATAAAGCGTTTCCTTTCACAAGGACATAACAGCAACTGCATCCAACCAACCAGCGCTTGCGTTTACCTCCTTCGTTAGTTCGTAGGAAATCAATTTGAATGTTCTTTGGTCCAAAAAAGAAAGAAAATCGTTCATTTTGCAATGAACGGAATAATGCCTTTTTATGTTAAGTTTGTCATTCCGTTTGTAACACCTCGAAATATACGTTTTAGACCCCACAAAGTATATATATATATATATATTCTTGATCAGCATGATATTCTATGTCGATTTAGCGATGTTCGTCTATCCGTCTGTGGAAATCACTCTAGCTTCCGAACGAAATGAAGTAGGTTGATAAAATTTTACTCAAATGTATATTATGTCTGCAGAACTTTTGGTATTGCAAATGAGCCATGTAGGTCCACGTTTTGGTATATACCCCATATAATGGTACCTTCATATTTACGGTATTTTGGTGATTTAAGCGACATTACTCTCCGGGATTGTTTACAATTTGGTATTTGAAGTTCGTAATGGATACTACAGCCTATGAGAGAAAAGTGTCTGTCCAGGTCCACGTTTTGGTATAGCCCCCATGGTACCTCCCTATATTCGCCATTTTGATTTTGATTTTAACTACATTATTCACCGATTTTTTATGCAGATTCTATTTTTTGTGAAAATTGCCCAATTCCTTTCCAAATGGTGAAGGGTATTCAAAGTTCGGCCCGTCCGAACTTAAATCTTTTTTACTTGTTTCATTTCAAATTTGTTAAATCTATTCCTCGTTAACGTCACAAATACGATGTTCTGTTGCAATTGATTTTCAAATAATTTCCTTGTGTTTTCTTTATTACAGTACACGCACATATATAGGTATTCAAATTGTGTGTATATATTTCGACAGAATAGGGGGGCATATAGAAAAAATCATTTAAGAATTACTCGTATTGCACATGTGTGCAATATGCGCACTTAAAAGCTACTTTCATTTTACCCAACGCAGCTATGGGGGAGATATATCATAATTTGGTTGGCAGCACACTGGAATGGAAAAGCCAGTCAGCTTTGCTTGGTATCAACCAGTTGTACTGCATTCGAATGCCTACGTTATTTTTATTCCGCTAGTTCCTTTTTTCGCATTAGTTAACAATTCTGAGGTTTAATTTTCAATAGCATCTCGCTTATTACGCAACGTGACATGCATAGTGACTCCAACCAATTTTTTTACTATTTTTCCGATCTTTCAAATCCTTGGCTATTAAATCCTACTCCTACTATCCCTATAGTGCCCAATGTAATCTATTATTTTTCAATTGTTTAAAACAATGCTACTCGTGCAGACAAAGTCATCAAATTAATTTCTAGTTGCCAATAGCAGCATAACTATGTGCGGCACTTCTTGACCATACCTTAAAGGTAGCACCCCATCAAATTGTAAATTTAAGAATTGTTGCCCCTTTTAATATTTGGGGAAAAAATTCAGTCATCATCTGGTCTGCTTGGATGTTCCACGACAACGTTTGGACACATTGAATTCATAGCATCGCGTGGTCACATTGCTGTTGCCTGTTTGGTGACCTATCAAAGGCACTGGTACGAGAAGAAATGAAGACACTTAGTGTGATTTAAGTTTGATTTGATTTATTATTACGTGTCTCTATTTTTCCAATATTTTATATAAAAATGCATACATACATACGAACTAAATAAATGCTAATTGTTGGGACGTCGACTGTGCCACACCCGCCGCTGTAGGCACACATCGAGAGGGATCTGGATTCTGCACCAAATAATTCTCCGAAAATTCTCCCAGCAGCTGATTTGTAACGATGCCGATCGGCCCTCCTCGATGTGTCTATTCGTTCTGAAGTTGTCGGCACACTGTACAATGTTTACACATAGCATAGCGTCGAGCTATGGTCGTTCTGGCCGATACTTTCTTTCGAAACAGATGCAAAAAATTGAAATGAAATTAAATGTAATATTCGTCTAGGCAAAGGTGGAGAGGTAGGAATCATTTAATTGTCTATTTGAATGAGCAAATGGCCCCAGTGGATCCGCTTTGATTGAAGTTCATGACCAATACTTGGCATCCAATTGAGTATGCGGAATATGCTGATATGTCGAGGGTGCGGCCGCAGCAGCGGCAGTGGCTGTGACTGAGGGTATGTTGTTATGCGGCAAGGATGTGCCCGCAGCAGCCGCATATTCATTCAGCTGGGCATGGTGGGCAGCCGTATAATTTGCAGCGGCTGCTGCCGTTTGGTATGCTGCTGTTTGGGTCCAATTCGGAGGATTTTCTAATTTGGGATAGTTGTCGTTGAGATGGAGTGAAGGCGACATTTTTGAGACACTTTCGGCCGTAAGTTTTGAGAAGTCATCTATCGATAGCTTAGAGTAGTCTGTGAGAAGAAAAGAAGCATTGGGTTAGGTCGAATGACGGGAAATATGTTCGCTTCAACACCTACCTTGGTGATAGTAGTTTTGCGAGGGGAAATGTGTGTTGTGAAAACTCCCAGAGAATCCTTGGTGGGCCGATTGGGCAGCCATTAAATCGTAGCTGCCCATCTGCGTATGATGGTGATGGTGGTGATGGTGGTGGGCGGGGTGATGGGATGCTGCTGCTGCCGCCGCCCCATGTACGCTATGTTGGTCATTCATACCCGTACTAGAGGCAGTACTACCTGCAGCTGGGCTATAGCCCATGGATCCCATGGCCAAAGAACCAAATGTCAAAGCACCCGCTCCGCTGGCACCTGGCCCAGCCGTTGTTTGCACTCCTGTACTGTTCGACCCAGTATTGATGCTAGAACCGCCGGAATGTTTGCGTAGCCTAGCCCTTCGATTGCTGAACCACACTTGTATGCGAGCCTCTGTTAGTTGCGTGGTCTGAGCCAACTCCTCACGGGTGTACACATCCGGATATTGGGTGCGGGCGAACGCCCTCTCCAATGCTTCCAGCTGATCGGCGGAAAAGGTGGTGCGAGATCTCCGTTGTTTGCGTTTCAAAGGTATACCTGGTTCCGATTCCGTATCACTGATATCGGAATCTCTTCCTGAAAGAGTAAAAAAGAGGTTCGAGTGAAAAGAAGCAAACCTAAGCATGGTCGAGTTGCTTCCCAGGGAAACAAGGTACTCGTTTTTTTCCACCTATGTTGTTTGTGTTTTATAACTGCCAACGGAATAAGGCAGTTAATGGCCGTAGGGAAAGTTCCTTTCCAAACGCCATACGAATACGAAGACAACAAAGCCGACAAATATACACCGGAAGCCGTGTGCGGTGTAATAGTGTGGTTAAAGGCTGAAAGGAAACCCATTAATATCGAATCTCTTGCGATGTCCGGTTTAAGGTAAGCTTAAATATAGCAGACAATGAATTGAAGTCTATCCGACAGACAGCAATGATTAATTTGCGGCGAGCGATTAATTTGTTCAAAAGCAGGGATTTCTTTTGCGGTGCACCACAGCTAGGGCGATGCATTTACAACAGATTCGGACAGACGGTTCACGTAGGTGACAAAGTTGTTCGGCCTTTTAGACGCATACGACCCGAATGCACACTCCAAGCAGAACAGGGAGAACAAGCGAACGAAAAAGGTTTGCTCACACGAAGTCGCAAACCTTTTTTAAACGTTTTGTACTCCAAACAAAAAAAAAAAAAAACGAAACTAAACTTTTCGATTTCAGAAGTACACAAACAACACGATTACCTAAATGTACTTCGGCTGTGAGTTACCGAACTGTATCGAAATGCTGACTGCTATATTTAGAGTTGCCATTCTAAATATTGTTTTTGCAACTTTTCCATTGTTTGAGGGACATAATAAATGAATAACGTGTAAAGAGTAACTAAGTTCGGCCGGGCCGAACTTTTAACACCCTCCACCATTCGGAAGGAACTGGAAAAACTCTGAAAAACACCGTTTAAATGAAAAGCGTTATATGGGGGCTATACGAACTCGATGACCTGCATTGTCATAGGCTGTAGTACCCATTAAGACCTTTAAATGCGGATTTTAAAACAATTCCGTTGAATAATGTCGCTAATGTTATCAATCCAATTCCAATTCGAAATATGAAACCATTCCGGTCTATATCTTCTATCATCTATGAGACAGGCGGACATCTATCTAGAATTTTAAGCTGATCCAGAATATATCTACATATTTGGGTCTAACAAGACAACAAGTATTTCGTGGAGTTACAAACGGAATGACAAAGTATATATACCCTCTATAGTACGATGGAGGGTATAAAAATTAGACCCAATATATGTTCTTACTTTATTTGCAATGAATTCCGTTTCCATTGTTGCCTCATCCCGCCGAGTACATTTCAGTTTTTGTCAGTTTTTGTCTCCACTCATCTGCGCGAACAATACAAAATAAAAAACAAGTCCCGTCATCTTAATATCGGACGAACGAGACGAGTGCAAACGTTTCCTATAGTATAGTTTTCGCACGCTAGGGAGAACAAATGTTTTGATTTGTGTTGAGCGCTTCGAACTCACACACGCACACTCACACATTCTCATAAGCTTTTGGTCGGCTATGATGTGGAGTCCCAAGTCGAAACGCATGCATTCAACAAAAATACCGACTGAGATAACCTGAGAAATCAATCGACCTCCAAATGATAGAACTTACTACTTGGCCTTCTACCGAGACTCATACGCGAAGCTTCGATGGACTGGAATAGCAAAAAAAGGTCCGATGTGAAAAACCTAATATGGTAATTGGAGCGTTATTGGCATGACAAATCTGTCAAAAGATACCGCCGCCATTAGAAAAAATTAAACGCAATGTCTAATGTGCTTTGACAAATTTAGAACTGCCCACCCCGATTGCCACGATTGCTGGCACTGGACTGCAGTTGCATAAGCAGCCATTTCCAAGCGCGTCAAATATGCATCATTTAACACTATTTGAAGGGGACGACATGAATGGTGCCGACACACGACGCACGACGCTTGTTTCGAGGGGCAGTTGACAGTTGGAATTGAGTTGCGAACATTGAAATGCCCACGATTTGTGTGGGTGTGTGTGTGTCATGGATCGCGACTGTCAAAGGATGTTGTACATATTGGCTTTTAAGGGCAACCCCGATTCGAGGAAGTACACCGCAGCCTATAAACAAATCGGGGCGTTTATGTCCCTTTTAGATATGCTTGATCCTGGATTGGCTAGTCGAATTTGGTAAACAAACCACATGTGTGCCCTCAAGTTTCCCACGCATTCCGCTTCTTCTCGAGTGCAACAAGGCATAAAACCAGAAACAAAACGCTTTGAAGTGTTTTAGTGCACAATCGTGGGATCGGTTATCGGTTAAATGCCTGTTCGTCCAGGAGGATATTACTCATTTTCGGGGTATTAAATTCGATTCCATTCCCATTCCATGCATTCAAATCTAGTTCGACTTTTCCTGCCGTCATCCGCTACATCAGACCTGAACTCGTGATGTAGCCGCTGTGACAAATACTATCACATCAGACAATCTTTGGCACCAGCACCATCACAAAACGAGAACCAGGCCCTGCAGCAGACACCAGCAATGCCACCTCATCAAATGGGATAGAAAATTAATAAAATGTTTGTAAGCAATCGGCCCTCATATTAAATCAAAATAAAAACAGGCACCTAACTCAACTACTTTGTTCTTTGTTCTGTGTTCTCTGTGAGAAGGCCCAGAAGCCCCATTGAATGGAGCGGCAGCCCAACGAAACGAGAAAACACCGACAGAGACAAAGAGATGAAAACGACCGCGCAGGACACCCCACTGAGATCGCAAGATGCCGCTTTGTGGCGGTTCATTTGTACGCCACACGTATGAAGGTTGAACACAAAGCCGACATGTCTGATGTTCGGTTGACACATTTAATCGACGCTTTGGAAGAGTGCAAGAGCAGGAAGGTGAATTAAAGAATTGTACAACAATACGACATCGTTAAATTGACGTGGCGAAGGTGTGGGCATACCACAACAACTTTCTCCGATCGTCTGCCTCTCTTCCAGCTCATACGAAGTGTGTTATTGCGGTGGCCATCTCGTAATAGTCGTGTAGGATGGTGGATGGTGCCACCACCAAGCGACCGCACACAAAGGATACACACAACGAGGTGTTCGACACAGGATTTTTGCGCAATCACCATCGGCTGTGTGCCCCATGGGCTTAGGGCTGAAATGGGAGAAAGACTGAAAAGTGCTAAACATTTGACGCCTTCGCATCAACGAGGACATCAAATGCTAGCCGCCATCGTTCCGAGCGAAGCAAAAGAAAAATATCTTCGGAGGCGTCTTTGTGTCTCCCTGGCGATCCTTCAGACCTTCCCTTGTTGGTGCACTGCATCGCAAAACGAAACAAGAGGAAACACAATGACAGCCTGTGCAGTGGCAACCTGTTTCTGCACAACAATGCCGACTGCCTTCTAAGGTCGTGGATGTCCCTGCCACAAATTGGATGGCCCAGTGTTTGTTATCGCCCTTTCAGGTTGCAACAATAGGTTCCATTGTGTCTGCGATCAATGTTTTGCCTATTGCCCGCTCTTAGTCCCCTTAATCTTCATTAGTTCTATTCTGCTCGGTGACCTGCTTAAAAGCAAAGAAATATTAATTAGCTCAAGTGATTTGGTAGTTTTTTCTTTTTTAACTTCACTCGTCGGCACGTAAGATCTTTTGTGATTTGGGAGATTGTTTGCCACAGGGGTGGGTTTGACTTTTGGTCAGGTTGCACAACTCGATAGGGGCACTAACACCGCAGTATTTAACAGAGTTTAAACGCATTTCAATTGCCTTCTATTGCGGAATAATCAAAGCGGCGGGGATGGGAATTGGGTTTGCAATTAGTTCCAATGACACCTGTTTTCCTCGATCGTGGAACAGGGAACGTTGGTGGTGTTTGTGTCCATAGTTTAACAACCTTTCTTCCGTTGCGAAAACCAGGTTCGAGGACACACAATTCGATGGTTTTGAGTCAAACACGAACTGTTCCACATCAGACATTCTGTCGTTTCGAATCATAACCATTTCACTTTTGTTTGATTTCAAATGTTGGTGATAAGATGAGAGTTTTATACGCAGGCCCTTATTAATAACCTAGTGGTTAGAATTCTACCGAATGTCTGAAATACCGTACAAGAATGCTCACCAAACACGCAAGGGGCGTATCTTCGAGGCGACCAAATGAAAGCTCAGCAAAATATAAAGATGTCCATTGAAACGATTTCAAGTTGCACATAATTTAAATTATTGGTCGATTTTATTTCCAACAACCCCCCCCCCACCTAGCACACACACACGGCATTTAAGTTCTGTCAAAGTTGAATTCTTTCAACTTTGGGATTTTTTACGCTCGACATATTTCGGGAGCATTTACAGCGTTACCCAAAATTCAACGTATCGCACACAAAAATTCAACTTCTCCACAGTGGTAAAATACGGCAGGTCCATATCTTAAAATCTACCTCCGATCATCTTCATAATTCTCCCACCAATCCTTATATTTTCGAATTGCAAACATTCACATTTTTCGTTCCATTCATTCCTGCATTCAAAACACATAACAAGGAGCTGGGCAGTTGTCCAACAGTGGAAATATTCTACGCCCGACGTATTTGGGTAACATCAATATGAATACATAGGTTTTACTTGTGTGGTGAAGAACGTCGACTGAGTACATCGAATTCTAGGTAACGCTGTTAAACACATTCAATTTAGTGGTGAATATATTCGGTTCGTAAGAAGTAGGCCTAATTTCCTTCAAATTTATACTTGTATTCTACTAAAACGCTTACATGCTGAGCAGATTGTCCTTTTGGTTGTCTGGATGTCGGAAAACCATTTTAAAATGTGGAGTATTTTTTAAGTTTCAAACACTTTTCTGGTGACTGATCTTCATATTGGCACCTTGGATCTTCGAGATCGTTTTACCATTCGCTTCACCCGGCGAATCTCACAAATGAACAGTAGCTGAGTTTTGTCAAATATTTAACATAATAAAGCCTGTTGTGATATCTTAATCCGTAAACATGTATGGGAGATGTTTATTGAATGTGGCCAAAGCGCCGAAGTGACAACAAGCGGGTGCTTCAAACAACTGTATTATTAATTAATATACATGGATACATACATATGTATGTATGTATGTATGTATGTATGTATGTATTGTTTTAGAAATATAATATTATGTATATGAGATGGTGAATGGCTCCCCTCCCCTGTCCCGATCACGACCGAAAGTTAATATATCTTCGCTTTGGCTCGTTCGGCTTTTTGCTTTAAGCGATCGTTATTAAACACCGCTTAGTTTGCTAAAGAGGTGTCGAAAGGGCGTTTAAATGCCGATAGCGGAATGGAATACAAGCCAGTAACAGGTATCAATTTATTAATGCCACATTAAGTTACAAATGCTTTTGTGCGTTGTGTTGCGGACTTTGTCTGGGGTGCCTCTTCCCACACAATCGCCTGTAAGGGCCGAAAGATCGAAGATATTTAACGTTAAATTATTATATTTCAGATTTATCTGTGGCTAGGCGGGAGGTAAGACATGACGAGCATGGCGAAGGAATTTCAAACATCACTTCCGAAAAAAGAAATTTCTATTCCTTGTGTTGGCTCGGAATTTCAAGAATGCCAGTTGAAAAAACTTAAACTATTATCGATAACTATTGGGTCTACATTCGCAATTATTATTGCATTCCAGTCGATTATGTATCGGCGTTGCTGTATTTTATCACTTAGATGGATGAACAGTAGCCATGATTGGACCGCGATGACAAACTTCAAATGTTCATGGGGACTCAAGTCCGAACTATTCCATATTCTGGTTATTCATGGAAAATGAGGAGGAGTGATCAAATGATCCCATGGAGGCCTTTGTTGCCACGTCATATTTTTGTGTTGGTTTGTCAGACATAAAATGACATAAAAATACGACAACACTGCTAATAATACAACAACAACAGCGACACAGCAACAACAAGAGAATAACATTAACAATTTTGAAAGCAACACGTCCCGTTGGAAACACAGGCGGACAGCGAACAGCTTACATGTCTTTTGTCAGTGACCAAGATCAATTGATAGTCGATAGAGCAGATAGGTCGTTTAGCTTCTTACAGTAACAGTAACCGCCAACCCTACGTTTCGGAACGGTAACTTTGGTTTTTAACTGCTTATGTATGCATGTATATACAAAGTTCCATCCGCAGGGCTGCCTCATGCGATTATATATATATGTATATATATATATAAATATATAAATATATATATATATATATATATATATGTGTATATATATATATATATATATATATATATATATATATATATATATATATATATATATATATATATATATATATATATATATATATATGTATGTATGTGCGACAAAAATTACTAAAAGATAAAAAATATGGATCGGTTCGAGCCAGAGCTCCAATACATGGTATGGACCGAGACAAACTAAATTGTTTGTGGAATAGCTAAAGTAGGCTTTAAAGAGCTAAATATTGTACCATTGGTATTGACCAAAATAGTCTACGAAAATAACACGAAGTGCACTCCGAAAGATGCACCAAATATTGCATAGGAACTTGAAATTGTCGTATATCCTCTTGTGCTATGGATTATAATGCTTCCTACAGATGAAAATTCGGGATATGTTGCCGATAGATGACAATAAGTATCTAGAAGAACATAAAGCTTAAAACTGAACGTGCAGGGTGCAACTGGTTTGAAGTGACCGCACTTTTTCGAATTTCGACGGTTTCAAAAGCGATGGAGTGTGTATTTACCGTCCATTGCTAGCTTCAATGGAAGCTAAAGATACTGTCATCAATCAATGTAATCCATTTCTGTTGTGGTGGCGGTGGCGGCAGACAAATAATCTGACATGACGAGAAACAATACACTGGAATGCCTGAGGAGGGTTGTGGCTGTTATTTTAATGGACAAATTCCATTTGAACGGCTAACTGACTTCTGTGTCCGATATCAAAATAAATTCAAATGGAAATTCTTAGAAGGCCGTGATGTAAAGACAACAACGCGCGATCGACCGAAAATGTCGAAGCTGTACGTGATGATTTTGCTCAAACTCCGTTCAGCATATTGATGTCTTCGAACCCACTATGCAGGACGATGGACGATAGATTTCCACTCCTATGCATACAAAGGGAAGGGAGCTCGTTAATTGGGTATTGCCCATATCCATATTGATGACTTCGTCATTAGGCAGAATTGTCACATTTGGGGTGAGGAAGATCCTCGAGTGATTCACGAGATGCAAATGCATCCCCAACGTGTCACGGTGTGGCAAGATTTTTGGGCTGGAGGAAACATTGGATCTTTTGCATGAAAATGAGGCAGGTCAAGCGCAAACAGTTAATGGTGTTCGGTATTGTGAAATGATAGCCAGTTTTTCCTTGGCTAGAATGGAAGAAATGAATGTGGAGGGCATGTGGTTTTAACAAGACGGCTCCACATGTGTCATACAGCCAGAGATACAATTCAATTTCTACACCAGTCATTTCCGTTTTAGAGACCAGAATTGGCCGCCTAGATCGTGCGATTTAACACTTCTCGATTTTTTTCTTTGAAGTTTCTTAAAGTCCATGGTTTACACGAACGACAACGAATCAAGCCATAAATTAGAAAATTGGAATACCGCAGCATTTATGCAAATCGGTCATAGAAAGTTTAATTAAAAGATCCCGGACATCTGCACGACATCTTGTTCCATACATAACCTCATTCTATGTACTTTAGGAGTTAATAAAATGTCACGGCATGTTTTTGAATATCTGTGTTTTATATAAAATTAAAAAAAAAAATGGGTTTCAGTTTGGGACTCCCTTTACTTGAACGTTAATCCATTGAACAGTCCTGGCGGCAAACGAACAAACAATGACTAAAACATGCCGACAAGGTCGTTTGCCGACAACCCACCTTTTGAGATGTCAAAATATTGTCACCTACGGGAGGCTGCGTTTCTATTCATCCACTGATCCATTCATTCAATTTGTGTCCCATTCACGCAAGAAAAACAAACGATTAGCCACTGCAACTGGTCTGCGTCGAGCAACAGCATTTGCTGTCCTTGGACAGAGTCCTGACCTTGTGCACAATTTTCCCATAACATTGCGTAGAGCATGGTGTAGAACGGTTGTGTTTGTGCGTGTGCGTGTGTGTGTGCGTGTGTGTGTGTGTGTGTGTATTGTGAACATGCCATTATTTGCACAACATTTCACTTGTCGGCTTTGTTTGGTCTATATCCTATGACCTGCAAGACAATCGGCCGGCCGGCGTTCGGATCGCTTTCCCTTTGATGTGGTGGACAATGAAAACCCCGAACTCAGATCAAACCGAATCCTTTTTGCATTTCATTCGGTTTTTGTTCAGCGAGCGGTAATTAATGATCGCTGCGATGATTCTCTAGATTGCCTCGACACCGATTTCATATCTTTACGGGTACGCGTTGCGTTTCTGTTGTACTTTTCTATTCGGTTTCTGTGGTTTTTGTTCTGTTTTTGTTACAATTTTAACACAATTTTCTACTCAATTTTCTCAACAATAACAAGCGCTTTTGGTCATTAACACTTTTACACGACCGTTTCGTTTAGTTTATGTTCGTCGCTTCAAAGTGTTTTATCGGTTCATATCTGTTTAGGTTGGTATTCCCGCTTTCGACTGGGCGAGCGAGGCGACCGAGGCGAGGAGAGCAACAATCTTAAAGATCGTTTATCGCATGACTTTGCATATTTATAGAATTAGCCTGCTTTCGAGATATCGAACCCGGGCGAGGAGGGATGTCTGTTTGAGTTTTTTTTTTTCTTTTTAGAAATTCGACTTATTAGTTGTTGTCCACAAAAAAAGCAACAACAACAACAATGAGTACAACAACAGCGAAAGAAAGGAGAAGAAACAAACGAATCATTACCATCCGTTTTCTAAGGTGTCATCATCGACACTTGCCTTTTACGGTCCGCCATGGTGTGGCGGGCTAAATGTTACAGATTTCATGGGACGGAGCTAGATTTTTTTGTTGTCAGTGCCCAGCGTTTGATGAGAACCAAATGGAAAGACGAAAAACAAGAAACACCCATGGACTATGATCCGATTTTATGTCTTTTGAACATTTGTTGGTAACCTTCGGCTTTGTTGACGCTGAGCTCTCCCCTTTGCTGGCTACCAAATGCCTGAGACCCACAGTGGAAAGCAGCGCCCGCTTCTTCGTTTCGTCTTCTGTCGTTAAGACGATCAAAGGCAAAGTGCCGACGCCTGTTGGTCTGTGCAACAAATGATTTGATGATGATTTTCAAATTATCAAATAAATGATCTATAATTTGATCAATAAAAGTGATTTGAACTTTCCTCGTTCCCCCGCCCGTCGCCTTGTCAGGCGTTGCATCGTCTGATGGGGACAAACAAGTGAGTGTGTGTGTGTGTGTTGTGGAAGGTGTTTCAATTAATTAAAGCCAATTTTTATGCCGAGTCGGCTGCTCGTTGATTCTAGTTTTAATTTCCCTCTTTAAAACTTACCGCCCAATATGCCATGGATGCTGTAGTCTTTGCGACCGTCGTCGCTGCTGCGATCATTGCCTCTTAACAATCGACTTATCGATGATGTTGAGGGCGGATCGGTGAAGCCTTCCTGTGGATAGAAAAGAGAATATGTGATAATTAACATAAATAAAACAATCGGAATAGAAAAAGTCTGCCTGCCTACTGCTTACAGTATTATTTACTCAACAAATGCTTTCAGGAGAGAAACAAACCATGCCCTACATCAGGTCGGCCAGTAATCCCGTCTGACAAAGGACATGTTGTGATTTAAAAATTCAAAGAGAGTCAAGTCACAATAGGCCAAAAACTACTAAGTTTTTGTCGGATTGATGTCGAAGGTAGTCTTCTCGGCCGACCCTATGTGAGCCTTTCGATCACATAAACAGGCTCTTAGTTTATAATACACCGAAACATTGGTACTGGACCCATCAATTAGCATTCTGCTCATCGAATCTCGACGAGGCGTGTCGATCTTGAATTGCAATCATTATAAGTGCCGCAATTATGGCCCGATCCTCACGAAATTTTGGTTGGTGCCTGGAGGTCCACGAAAAAAAAAAAACATTTCTCTGATTTGCAGTCTTTCCCCAGGTTCGACGCCAAACGCGGACAGTGATGCAGAACACCATTTTGAATACTGATCGGATAATATGTGAAAAATTCCAAAGATTGTCATTTAAATGTTCATGAAAAAGGTACGTTCGTCTTTGACATTGATGTCGATTTCATTGACGTACATAGTCAGATATCGGACTTGAATGTTTTGAATTCGTATAAGTTAAATTATATGCAATCAAACACGAAGCTAATTCCTGCCAACTCGAAAGGGGGCATTTATGTCGAAAGAGATCGAAATAGTGTTCGAACGCAGAATCATAACAATAACAATTTTCAGTCTTTAATTGAAAAAAAAAAAAACATCAATTATATCCTCTAGCAACCGAAAATTATAGACCAGATAGAAAGTTGCCATTAGAATATAGGAATTTGCTAGAAATCAGCCAGTGAACTTGTTTCCAACAACAATACTGACGGCGCTTGCAGCACGAACCTGGAAGCGGCCATATTTGAAGCCGTTGCACATACATATGTATATTTGTGTGGCTATGTTTGAAGGTAGGTACATATCCGCCATGTATTTAATTATCCTCCCCTGGGAATCAAGTCAATAGTCCCCGATTGTCTGGCTGCTTACATCGGACGTAAAAATTGTTTCCAAAGTGGAGACAAAGTCATAACGTTTAGCCGGTAGACACTCCTCACACTGAGCACAGCGTCAATCCGCATGTCAGTAATTAATTAAATTTCAATTGAATTTGTTGAACACAACATGTTACATGACACACGCACACACACACACGCAGCCAAGCCAAGAAGTCGTCTATTCCAAGATTTGAATTTGTTGAATCCAAACCACAAGAGAAACCTACAAATTCCGACAACATTGCCTACAAAACAAACTTCAAATCTATCTTGTCAGGGAACAAGATAAGCTGTCACTTGAACGGATGCCTTGGCTGTGGCTTCGTCTATTCATACGCTCGCTAGGCAACACACGCCGCCCGACGCACTAACAACTGGCAGGTAAGCTGGCATATATCACAGTGCCACATGATCAACTGCAGTCAGTCAGCCAGCCAGTCAGATACGTGCAACGACAGTAACAACTGGCAAAGATGTGTAGCACTGCTGTCGTTGTCTGGCTCGCTTCAGCTGCTTCCTGCCTCTCTACAAGTGAGAATAAGTCCCCCGGTAGCCTCTAGAAAAGCCCACAAATGGTCAATGTTTCATTTCAAAACAAGCTTTTTTGTTTCGTAACGTGACAAAGAAGTGCACGGCTCGGAGGGACTGAATTCGTGGTATGGTAGGTGCACAAAAAAAACCACGTCCCCCACATTGCAGAGAAAACCTTTGGAAAGAAGGGACGATGATCAAGTGATGTCTCTGAGCAGGATGTCTTTAATTCAAAAAGTGAATCCGCCGGAAAGGTCGGGGATGCGACTGCCAACTAGTCAAGAATATGTTGACGCCAAAAAAATTAACCGAAAGGTCCCATCTTCACACCGGAACTGGTGTTTGAGAGAACTGCTCATGAAATCGGATGTACATGTATTTGCCGTATTTGATGTGTTTCTACGAATGCCGCCAAAATACGGAATACGGAAAACGAATGATGGAAAAAGAGGATTTTTGAAATTGGCCAAATGAAAAAGAAAAATTATGAGTCCTTACCACGTTTTTATACTCCTCAGCCTATCAAGAGGGCATAAAACGTTTGCATTCGTTTTTCAACACCTCGACATAAGCAATTTATGTCCCACTCCATATCTGTCTGTTTGTATGTCTGTAGAAATCACACTAGCTACCGATTGAATTGAAGGGGATTGACCATATGTCTCACTCTCATATATATTTTAGGTCTGTAGAACTCTATTTTATTGAAAATGGATCATATAGGTCCACAAAAGGAATTTTTAGGGGTTTAAACCAATTATTTCACGAACTGACTATTATTTGCCACAGTGGTTGGTAAATATTGCGAGCATCAAATACAAAATGAGAAATACAATATATAAATACAAATTATCGGATATCGGGACGCTGTTCGAATCCGTAGACCGATATGTACCCTATACTAACTTGACCTTCTTTCTGACAAAATACACATGTGTGCAAATTTTTAGTCGTCTCTGGCGTGATTACAACAGAAAGACATGCGGACATCTCTATCCCTAACCCGATCACGAGCATATTTTAATACTTTGCAGAATCTAACGTGAACACTTAGACTATTTGGAGTATTTACCACTAACCTCTCTTCTTTTTTTTAGTCATGAATCCGTTTTTTTTGAAGATACACGAAAATACGAACTGAAGTTGTCATATTAATTTTGCACAATATTGTGCAAACTGATAAAAGTTCCGCCCTACAAAAAAGAATAACACTTTATCTACATCACGCGTATTTGTTCTGTACTTTTTGCGCCCATTTGTCTGTAGGTAGCAATTGCTGTGGTCCACTCGCATATAAATTAAGTATTCAATTTTTCTGAGATGAGTGCCAGACAAGGATAACCGACCGATAATAAAAAAAAATATGAAAACATTAAATATTTCAACTTTTCCGTCCTGCTATCGTTTCTTATATTCTAATTGACCGTGAAGCGCACCTGGAGGCTGTGTTCAGCCCATTTTTATGGTGAATCGGAGAACGCAAACAAACGCAGCCACAACAACGATGCAACAAGAGAGGGAGGCTGACTTTGAAAGGCTGTTGGCCTACGACCATCATATTTTGTTGCAATTTTGATGCAAGCGTTTAGTTGAGGCCCCGCCGCAGATCTAATGTCCATTGTGGTAAGAGGCGATCTCTTTACAATCACGGACGGACAATCAATAAAATATTACATATGTGATGTGTAGGTAAGAGTTTGTATCCAAAATAATGGTTTGGACTTTGTTCCTAGCTGGCTGCATGTCAACATGGCAATGGGAAAATAACAAATGAGTAGTCGAGAGCCTCATGACGTTTATTGCAAAACTGGGGTTTATAACACCCCCACCGATGTAAGAGTCATGAGCATCTGGTTTGAAACGAAACGAAAAAGTCCATCAATATCAAAGTTACGCCTATTTAGAGATGTGGCAAGTCTTCAATGTGACTCCTTTCCGGGTCAAGAGAACATTAAAGCAACGCAGAGTGGTTTGAGGATAGTACAAATACCCACACACACACATACACATGTATCCATATTCTATTTATCAATTGCACCATTTCATTTCTGTGACAATCTCTGTGTTTATAGGTAGATGCCTTTGTATGTGCGGGCTGTTGTAATTGTTTTAGATCGCCCATGGCCGATAGCGACGCAACGTCTTTCAAGGTGTCCGCAACAATAAGCAGCATTGGACATGCACGCAGAGACGGAATATCAAAACAATGAATGCAAAAAAAGAGTAAAGGCCATGATCGGAACAGTTAAAAGAGGCGATCGTGCCAAGGCGGAAGTTGTAGTTGTGCTCTGTGCTCTATGCTCTAGTCTGCCATCAACGACTGTACCCTGTTGCCATCCGTAATTTGTGTCCTAACAATTTGGGTGACGAATTGTCTGTCCGCAAAAATGTGTCCGAATTCTTTATTCAATCAAATGCAGTTCAATTTGAATTTCCGCCTCCAAAAAGGTGCAGTTTGCCCCTAACACTGTAAACAATGTCGATAGGGGGTGCCCGACAAACAATCAACGGAAGTTGACCATCTTGGGCATCTTAGGTGGCAACACGTGACTTTTGGGAAATCGGAAGTACGCAGTACGCAACATTGCAGCCGTGAGTGACATGGCTGCGGTGGCCGTTGTGGCAACAATAATAATCAGGGTTTGCCCTTGACTCACCTTTATTAGTTTCTCCCTTATCTCCCAGCTGAAGAGTCCTGGATTTGCTTTGCACATCTCTTTAATGCGCGCCTCAATCTCCGGAGATGTGACTTTGGGTTTGGATCCACCGATTACGCCAGGCCTAATAGAGCCGGTTTCTTGGTAGCGATTCAGAATCTTCGACACACAGCCATGCGAGACTCGCAACTGTCTCGAAATGACACACGGTCGAATTCCACTGCCAGCCATTTCGACAATTTTCAAGCGGATGTGATTGGGAAGAGGTCGACCATTGATGAAAACCCCTCCAAGTTGATTAACGCGACCCTGGCCTGAAAAGGAAAAAAGAGATATGAGATAATCTACGGTTCGCAATTTGGAATTTCTACTCTACAGTTTCTTCTTCTTTTCTGGACTCTTCTCATTCATTCGATCTTGGCGAAAAAATGGAAGAATTCATTGCGATGCAATATGCAAATCTCAACTCGACGTACAGAGGCTACAGAGAACTTCTACTTCCCCACAGTGGGAAAATGCATCTGCCCCATTTCTTCAAACCCGCCAAATAAAAGGTGTGTACGATAACTCAATATTTTTTAATAATTTGAACAAGTTAAATGCTAGAGAATTGGCAATACAATCTGCATTACTTGGTTACTGAGAGTCTACAAATTCTTACCGAGGAAATGTAATTGGTTAAATTTTAGCAGGTTATCAAAAAATACACCAGATTATGATTATTATATCTTCCACTTCCAAATACAAAAAAAAAAAAAAAAAAAAAAAAAAAAACAGTAAAGAAAGTCGGGCGGGGCCAACTTTATGATATTCTACACCACTGTGCTAATTTAGTAGAGCTCCGCATAACAATTAAAAGGGGAATTCAATCATACACGCTATGATTATAATTATAATTTAAAGTTCAAAGGACTAAATATGCCGAAGCATTTGTATCTTTTAAATTCGGACTTGTATTGCCCATATTTGGTGCACAATTAATTTGAAATCGGATAAAATATGTATGGGAGCTATATGAAAATCGGAACCGATCTCGATAAAATTTGGCAAAGATATTTCTGAGCTGTATTTGATGTATTTCCCTGAATATCGTTGTTACGGAGTGCATATTACGGCTGTGGGTAACAAATATGACAAATCGGATGAACAATATGTATGGGACCGATCTTCACCAAATTTGGCATACTACCTTCTAGACTAAATTCGGTCGTATGTGCCAAATTCCATCCCATTTGGACAAATATTAGACGTTTGGTGCACAATAAAAGGTAAATCGGACGAAGTTATATATGGGAGCTATATCCAAATCTGAACCGATCTCGATAAAATTTAGCAAAGGTATTTCTGAGCTGCATTTGATATATTTCCACAAATATTGTTGTTACAGAGTGCATATTACGGCTGCGGAGGACAAAAATAACAAATCGGATGAACAATATATATGGGAGCTATAGCTATATCTGAACCGATTTCGATCAAATTTGGCATACTTATTTTCAGGCCTAATTTGGTTGTATGTGCAAAATTTCATACTATTCGGGCAAATCGGCCGAAGATATATATGGGAGCTATATCTAAATTTTGACCGATTATCTCCAAATTCAATAGGGTTCGTCCTTGGGCCAAACAAATGATTCGTGCAAAATTTCATCTGGATAGGGCAATGCGAACTGTACTTCGTTTACAAAAATACATGGACGGACAGACGGACGGAGGGAGGGAGGGACGGACACGCATAAATCGACTCAGAATGTGATTCTATGCAGATCATCAAAAGGAACTATGGGTCTATCTCGTTTCCTTTTGCCTGCTACAAACAAATGCACAAAGACATAATACCATGACCACCTTGTGGTGTAGAACTGTCAAAGTTAGATCTGCTACCCCTTCAAATCTTCTACAATCGAACTAATTCGGTAAAAGTTGCATAAATGAATGTGTTGAAAAAGGTCAACCAATATTCAATATCTGTTGAGAATTTCACGGTGAAGAAGTTGGTATCTATTGCGATATCAATAAAGAATACGGCTGAAATCATAAGAATGGTTAATATCAAAGGAACTGGCATGGCTAAGTCAACTTTCAATTTGACGGTTATCAAGATGAATTGCAAACGGAATGACAAACAAAACACACCCTCTATAATACTGTGGTACAGGAAATGTTATTGCTTTAGATTTGTTTTTTTTTTTAATATTTTTTTACTGCCACTAACATCGATTGATTTATTTATTTGTTCCTATTTAAACCCCTTGACCCGTTCTTATGTCTTTTCTTTATGGTCCAGTTTCGTTTTCCCCTACTTTAGGAAAACTAAAGGATAAAATTCACAATAAAATAAATGATATGGCGAGCTTTTTGTAGAACTGGTAACTGGTTTTGATTGTAAGATGTAACACCGGTCATAATCCATTACCTTTGCAGGGACACTTTGCTCTAAAAAGTATTTATTGTTCAAATTGCATTGGAATTTATTGTTTTGCAGTCGATGTCAGTAATTTTCCAAACTGCAACCAACAACAATCGAATAATTACTGTTAAAAAAAAAAAAATTAACTAATAAAAATTTAATTATTTTTCTGGTGGCTTTTCGCCAAGCGTGTATGCCCACGACATGTGAAATGCCTAATGACAAAGACAATGATTTCTTCATTTTGCAAGGATTTTTTTTTTTGCTTCTCGGCCATCTATTCTAAATACAAAGAATACATCGAGGTGTCACAAGCGTGATGAAAAATGTAATATACCATCCGACATACGATGGTGTGTGCTTGAAGTAGTGACATTATCAAGTTATGGGAAAATAAATCTAATTGGTTTCAAATTCAAATGTTCGATCCAGCAGGACAAGACACATGATATTAAATGAAAACTTGTTGGGCGATTTCAGCCTCGACATGATTTTGTATTGTATGAAAAGGTTGGGCCGGCTATACTGATACTTTACACCATTCTTAATCGAAAGAACTATACCAAATTACAAACCCAAATGAAAACAAGTAAGCAAAGGCCATAGTCGTGCCTACAACACTACAATGTATTGGAAAACCTACTTAGGTCCAAACCCATCTTAGTCGAATTTTTAAAATAATGCTATTCTGACCTGCACAAATGTTACTTTTGGTTTTTGACCGGGACGTTTGCCCCATATTTTGATTGGCATTCAAAACAATTTCACACAAAAGTTGTGGTACATTTTAGCCGCTAAATATAATACAATGGTCATCCGAAAGGCTATACTACAGCCCTATCCCCAATTCTCTACTCATGCAAAATTCCGTGTTCATTGGTTTTTAATTGTGAGAAAAAATTAATTTTTTTGGTTCATTTGTGCAATAAAAAAAAGAAAAATCTCGAGAGCTGATGAGGACTGGTGGCTCTTTCCGAAACCTACGTATTCCCTGCCTTAGCCCCTGGTAAACATTACCATCTTTCTCCGCTAATAAACAATCGTTGTTTTTATAAAAACAAAAATAATGGGATTAAGCCTGCCTATTTTGCTATTTTTTCTTAGATTTTTACCTTTTCTGGCAAGAGGCAATTCCGAATTGGTGAGAATTGTCAAAATCAGTCAAATGTCAATTTCTTTTACATTTAGATGGTACCCATTTTGCTATGAAACCGATATCTTGGCTAACAGTACCACCGTCACGGTCAGAAGTGATATTTTAATATATTTGTGATTTCGTCGGAATTAAAAATATTCGCGATTTAGTGGACATTTTCGTATTTTTTACATAAAAGTTATGGTATATTTTACCCGCTAAATATTGTCCGATGACCAAACAAAATGGTAGGCTTCTGCCCAGTCCTAAACTCTGGCCCGATGCTAAATTCCGCGTCGATTTGTCTGTAGGCGCAACATGTAGAACAAATGGAAAATCAGGAAAATTGTGAAAATTGTTTTTGGTCCATTTCAACTCCTAAATATTTTGCAGACCCTAACCCCACCTACATGCGAAATTTCGTGAGGATGGAACAATAATTACGACTTGTAGCGTGATTACAATTTAACATGGACATAACTTGATGGACTCAGCTTAGCGAGATAAGAAGATCGGTATATAGTTTCCTCTTTCGGGGACCAATATTTCGAGGTTTTACGTAATTTTTGGCCCAATCAAACTTATAATATCCCCAACACATAGTTTTGTAGTTGCAGGTAACACACCTCAGATATATTATGCTGAATATGTTCGATATCGCTTTCCGTTATTCTGAAATTGAATGGATCGGTCCGAGCGAAACGACATGACCTTTGTCAACGGTCTGGCAAAGCGATTCTTTGAAGTTGCTCAAAAATGCTCTGTCTTGTTTTGAATAATGGCTATACGGAATTGATCTGAATATTTTAGAATTTCACTTCGAATGAAGATTCGTTCTTTTCCACTGTTGGCGGGATAAGCATTGCAGTGGACCATTACCTTAGTCACATGACAAAATTTTGGATAAATTAAAAACTCTTTGCATTGGTTATTAGCAATTTAGAGTAACATTGTGTTTAGCAAGGCGTATCGGCATGGTGACACGGCTTGGCCGGCTGTTTTCTTCTTTTGTCGTCAAAGCACAATTTTTTCTTTTAAATTGTTTAATAAATGTTTCTTTTTTGAAAAAATAAAAATACAGTACAAAATTAGAAAAGAAACATTTTTAAATTTAAATTGGCCTTGTAACTATTTCAGAAATTTTAGTGGAGATATAAGTTATGTTACCAACACTTGTGGGAAGGAGTTTCGAGGTTATGGGACGACAAAATTCCAGTTATGAAAATAATCACGTGTCAAACGAACAATTTTTGTTCGAGAGAAGTGCGAGCTTTCCTCCATCAAGGAGCCGAAAATGTCAAAGCAAGACAATTTGTCGGTATCGATACAATTATGATTTAACTATGTAAAGATTCCGATTCGGCCACATTATGCTAGTGATGCTACTGCATGCTTGCATTGAACATTTTGAGGGATCAAATCTCCAATTTTTATAGCCGGGGTTACTTAAACCAGAAATGTTCTTACCTTGGAAAGGATAGCCAGCAAACAATGGCCGCATGTTGAGGGAATTCGCACCGGTCATATCCATTTCAAAAGGGGAGCCAGCGACTGGCTTATTTTAATATTGGTCTTATGCTAATATTGGGCTATCGCAATTTTCACACAACAGACCATACACTTTTCTAGTTTTGCAATTCAATTTAAAAACAGTTTCCTTCTGTTGTATTACACTTGATCCTCCAGCAGTTCTAATTGCTGGCCATAGTACACTCTGCTTGGAGTGGCGATGCACACACCCGAACCGACGGTTTTAGTGCCACATATAAATTACTCGATATCCATGAATCGTTCTTTCGTATGGCTCATATGCTCCGAATGTGTTTAGCTGTCGTTTCTCGTTCGCTTGTTCGTTGTCAGTAAAACGCGGCGACTCGATTCAAACAAAACAGCACGACTCTCGGCTACCAACTGAGGAGCGCGCGGACACGAATTAATCAAGTTGCGGCAAGATCACAATTCCCACTGCTAAAACTGGTTAGATGCGTTTGATTGGAGGCCATGAGTCCGCCAGCTTGCACGCTGTGTGAAGTAGAGCGCGGAGTTGGTGGAATTCTCTCTTTGGGAGTTCGGAAAAAAAGGGGCGGAATTTGATATAAAACCCGTTCGATGTGCTTTTATCGGTGGCGAATCGCGGTGGTGGCAAGCAATGGCAACGATCAAAGCTTGTCTTCCTCTCTCAGCTGTGAAGAGTTGCGCTCTACGTCACGGCCTTACCTGTCTCGCTCACACCTAAGTGTTCTCCTACGACCTTTGTCTGCGGTGCATTTGGGGTGAGAGCGTTTTTGTGTGCATCCGTAGAACGCTCTTTGGCTGCAGCGTGAGTGTGTGGATCACGAAACCACTTCTGATTGGTCTGCTTGCAAAGGGTGTTTTATTTCCCCTTCTGATTTCCCGTTCATCCATCCTATCAAAGCGTGGCGAACCACCACAATCACATCCATAATAATTTTACACGGTGTTGTTTTGACGCCGTCCGCCGTTCAGTTTTTATCTGTCCGTCCGTACGTCCGTCCGTCCGCCATCCTCTTCTTTTTTGTTATCAAGCGGAGTGGGTTGTTCTATTAACGATCAGCATACAAAAATATGAATACTAACGAAGCAGCTGTCAGGAACTGGGCTGCCGTCCTTGCTATTCGGGTCCCCATTGTATTGCAACAATAGCTGCCACGTTGATGTATTGCACCACATACCTAAGCGTGTACCTATGTACATTCCTGCAATCTGCTGATCTACGTGAGTATGTATATTGTATGTAGGCAGTGTGGAGGTTACAAAACCCCACATCGTGGACTAAGTCTTCAGTCATATCAATGTTTGTATACTTTCAATTGGACCCATTGATGATTGGAAAGAATGGAGGGTATATTAAGTTTGTCATTCCGATTGTAGCTCATCAAAATAACCGTTTAAACCCAACTATATATATATATATATATATATATATATATATATATATATATATATATATATATATATATATATATATATATATATATATATATATATATATATATATATATATATATATATATATATATATATATATATATAATCTCGATCAGCGTAAGATTATAAGTCGATTTAGCCATGTCCGTCTATTGTAGTCGCGCAGTCAGGTCAAGTTTGAAGGTGTGCCATATAGGTTCATGTTTTAATATAGCCCCCATGTCATTGTACCTTCCCATATTTGATACTTTGATGAGTTAGCCACAGTTTGTAGCGGCACTTGTAGTTCAAATTGGCGTCTATCTCCACGACTTTAGCCACATTTTCTAACGGAATGTTTTGAGTTTATAAAGGTTTCTACCTCATGTGACAGCATATTGTCTACATATGTCCACATTTTCATATAGCTCCCATGTCAAATTACTTCCCGATATTCGGTAGTTTGACAATTTCCGCCACATTTTCCAAGGGAGTTACTTAGGATTCAGTCTTTGGATTCCGTGATGGGTTCTTCTACTTATAGATAACAATTTCTATATAAGTCAAGATTTTTCTATCCAACTTTTTGCAGCCAACTTTTTGACAGAATTGTTTGAAATTTGGATTAGATGTTCCTAGTAAGATTTGTGGCGCACAGCCCTTGAATACTGGAATTTCGGCATTTACGGACATATTTTTCTATAAATTACTTTAATATAAGAATTTTGTTAAAAATATATAGAAATAAACAAAGCCTACTGTTGCAGATTAAAAAGTCTATTTGACACTATAAGACTCCAGCACAGAGTTGCATTTTTCTGATTTCTTTGAACTTGAGCAACCTTTCTTATTGTGCCATGTGTTTACATTTATCCGGGTTAAGCCAAGTATTACACTGGATTTGTTTTGTTTAACCAGAAGTCCAGGAAAAGAGATCTCTATTTGCTCAGCAATTTGGACGGTTGTGTTCGCTAGCTATTTTGTACAGAATCTTTAGCTATTTAATAACACTGTATGGAAATGGATTTTGGGAAATGAAAACCCTTGGTAAGTGAATTTGAACACCCAAGGGGGAGATTCGTCATGGGTCGAACTTTTCAGTTATGGCGTATTAATTTTCTTGTTCGTGATCTTGTGGTGCAAGTAAACATAGTCTTTTATCTGTTTTGTAGCTTAATTTTGACTGATCGCATATCGAAGGAGGAAATCTAACTTCAACATTTGTATGTCTCGTCGACTTTTTTGAATGTGAGTACCACCATGAGATTAGACTTTTCGACGTCGAAATATTCAACAATAAATTAGCTCGAAAGAACGGCTCGTGTACTTTCGACCAGATATTTTAAATCTCAGTAACCTCTTACAATACCAATAGCAGAATATTGTACAACTTTTCAGGCCTATCCCGTCCCGGATCCCGCTGTAAAGCATCTCTGGCACCGGCTATAGTGGAATTTTATTGAACAATCCCAATTTCAAAAGATTAACGAGATTGAGAAGGCCCCCAATATTCGGTTTGGGACTACATATATCGGCATCGCCAGCAACCGCTGCACAGTGGTCGCTGCAATTGGCCAAAATTCAAAAAATGAAAATCAGATATTTATTATCAAATGTGTACACATGAACTCTTAAGAGGTTAAGCTTTTTAGAAAACATAATAATCTTGGCTTCATTCTAACGGCCCACTTCGAGAATAGCATCAAAAAAGAGAAAATGTAGTTAGTTGCTTTTTTTTCAGCGGGATCAGTGAAAAAGTGGAGTAAAAATAGAACTGTATTACAAAATTAAATACATTTTAAAATGACAAATCTTGGTATAATTATTGAAAAGCAAGGTATTGACTTGTTTTTAGTGCAGTAATTTGTGTGTTTAGTAGTTGGGTATAATATAGACGATGTGAGTGTTCTGAGTTGCCTTTAAGATTAATTTTGAAAATAAAATTGGATTTCAGTTAAAGTTTTAATCGTTTTCCCCCCTGAATGCTCCAATGTGACTTTTCTCGCGCCATTAGTAATGTTCCTAAGATTCTTGAAGTGCTAATTTAACTTTCAGATGTTGTCAGATTTGTATGTTATGCCCAATATACTAAAGTGACTTCGCTGCAATTTTGTCATTTGTTTATTTTATGTTTATGTTTATTTTGTTTACAAAAACATTGTCTATTTTGTTTACAAAAATATAATCAAATTTGTAATTGATTTGTAAAAAAATACTTCTATTTTTGGAGGTACCTTTACAGGGGGACTCTACCTGAAGGCGGGCCGTTCCAAATAATTTTCAGTAAGACTATTTTTTAGCTCTTTAGAACGTAAAATGTCAAATAACAGAACAATCTAGTGTAGAAATGTGACGAAAATTGGCCAAATAACCCTTATTCGGGAGGTACGTTGTAAGGAGACCATGCCAAAACATATCTCGACCATATCCATTTTGTCACATTTTTTATTTTTATCCCCTCAATGTACCATAACCAAAGATTCATATTGATATCTGCACTGAAAGTATTTTTGGCCGCTTTTTCCATACGACCTCGACCACTGTGCGCTGTGGACATTTTCTATATAATCCTTTATATTTAGAATTTATTGCGACCATCAAAGGACGACTATTTATTTTCTTTTTTTTTTTGGCCCTTTCACATTTTTACGAAACCATTTCGCTGCACCCACTACATGTATGTACGTAGCTATGTACGCTTTGTACGCTTGTTTTGTGAGTGTGTATGTATTTGTCCACAACATTTACTCAATCCACATCTGCCTAATTTCAATAACCAAGCCTGTGGTTTGGCGTAAATGGTTGCGTATGCATGAATCACTTAGTTAGGCCATAGATCCTTGATGGTGCCCTTTCCTTGGCAATGACGTAGCTGTGTGGGTTTCGTCAAGACACAGTTGTTGTAACACTGGCACTGGCACTGGCACTGGCACTTCAATGAAATTGAGGATGTCGTGTATAAATAGAATAGGGCAGAATAGAATAACTTGATCCCCTCATAATCATCGATAATGGCCGTCTTTAGACTTCGAGAAACTGTGAATGAAGTGTAAAGTAGCCCCATTGTATGGGGCTAGCAAATCGAAATCACACTTTTACAACTGTTATGTTGTAGCCAACAAGGACCCATTGAGGGCGATGATGACGGTTTGCTGTCTGCTTCCACTGGCAAAAGTGCCGACACAAAAAAGTCCAATCTTCCGCCGGGACGTGCCAGTGATTTAGGGCGGTGATAAATTTTATGGAATAAAGCTGTGTAATTGGAGACGAAACCTTTTTGTCGTTGCAGGGGACAGTCGTAAAATCATTGACGAAATGTTACATTTCGGGGTAAGCATGGAGGGACTCTTTAGCACCATCATAAAGCCATCAGCTACGTCGACACTTTGACAAACATTTCTCGGAAGACTTGGCAGGAAGATGATCGGAGTGCGAAATGTCTGTTGTCAATACTCGCGTCGATCCTTCAAACAGACATCTGGGGGTTTATTGTCATATAAAGAGATCTGGCTGTTCGTGTTGCGAGTAAAGTGTTATGTTTATGACTACCGAATGGTTAGGCAAAGCGCTGAGACAACGCAACGACGTTGCCATCGCTGGTAGTCGATGGGCGCGTTGGTGTTGTAGCTGACTGCTGCAACCAGTGTCCTTTGATTGTCCTCAGCACCCCTGCGGTCAGTCGTTGTCATTGTTAGGTGTTGATTCATTCTTTCAGTGCGGACACAGGTCCTTTGGGACTTCCTCTTGGGCTGATTAAAATGTTTTACCATGAAGGAGTGAAAATATTTTATTTGGCATTCAAGTTAAATTCGAATCTTAAGAGACCCATCGGTCATGTGTCAGAGCATTGTTGCTTCACTCCTTCGGCCATTCATTTGTCCCCTGACGACTGTGGTCCAGGGGTTACATTTAAAGCGAAATGACCGGTAGGGATTGTTAAACGGCAAGTATTTTGA